ATTACTAATTCAATCTCTGTCTTGTTATAGATAATTAAGATGTTCTATTGCTTCTTAAAGTAGTTTCAGTAATTTGTGCTTTTCTAGGATGTTGTCCCTTTCATCTAAGCTATCTAATTTGTTGACACATCATTATTCTCTTACAACCCTTTTTATTTGTATAGGGTCAGTAGTCCTCACTTTCAGTCTTGATTTTAGTTGAGTCTATTCTCTTTTTTTGCTTAGTCCATCTAGCTAAACATTTATCAATTCTGTTTATCTTTTTCAGAGATACAACTTGTGTTTTTGTTGATTTTCTTATTTTTCTATTCTCAATTTCAGTACTTTCTACTGTAATCCTTATTATTTCCTGCCTTCTGCTAGCTTTGGGTTTAGGTTGCTCTTCTTTTTCTAGTTTCCTAAAATTAAAGGCTAGGTTATTGATTTCAGAACTTCTTTAAAAAAAAAAAATAGACATTTACAACTATAAATTTTCCTGTAAGTACTGCTTTTGCAGCATCCTGTAAGTTTTGGCATGCTGGGTTTTCATTTTTATTTATCTCAAATTATTCTCTAATTTTTCTTTGACTTAATTTTTCTTCTTTGACTTATTGGTTATTTAAGAATGTTTTGTTTAATTTCTACATATTTGTGAATTTCCCAAATTTCTGTTGTTAAAATTTAATTCCACTGTGATGGAAAAAAATACTGTGTAAAATTTCAATCCTTGAATTTGAGACTTGTTTCATTGCCTGAATGATGGTCTCTCTTGGAGAATGTACCAGATGCACTTGAGAAGAATATGTATTCCGCTATTTTTAGGAGTATTCCATAGGTGTCTCTTAGATCTAGTGTTGTTCAAGTCTTCGATATTCTTGCTGATTTTCTTCTGATTGTTTCGTTCACTATTGAACATGACCTGGGCCTGGCGCGGTGGCTCACGTCTGTAATCCCAGCACTTTGGGAGGCCGAGGTGGGCGGATCATGAGGTCCGCAGATCGAGACCATCCTGGCTAACACGGTGAAATCCGTCTCTACTAAAAACACAAAAAATTAGCCGGGCGTGGTGGTGGGCGCCTGTAGTCCCAGCTACTTGGGAGGCTGAGGCAGGAGAATGGCTTGAACCTGGGAGGGGGAGCTTGCAGTGAGCCGATATTGCGCCCCTGCATTCCAGCCTGGGCGACGGAGGGAGACTCCATCTCAAAAAAGAAAAAAGAAAATGACCTATTGAGGTCTCTAATTATTATTGTGAAATTATCTATTTCTCCCTTGAGATATGTCCGTTTTCCCTTTATGTATTTAGGCTCTATCATTAGATGAATATATGTTTATAATTATTACATCTTCCGAACAGGTTAACCCTTTTATCATTATAATATATCTCTCTTTATCTCTGCTAATAGTTTTTATCTTAAAGTCTACTTCATCTGATACCAGTAGAGTCACCTCAGCTCACTATGGTTCTATTTGCATGGTGTATCTTTTTAAAACCTTTTACATTCACCTATATGTATCTTTGAATTTAAAGAGTATCTTTTGTAGACAGCAAGCATATAGTTGGAACTTGTTTGGGGTTAAAAGAAATACTGTCGACAATCTCTACCTTCTGATTGGCTTGTTTAATCCAGTCGCACCTAATGTTATTGTTATGTGGTTGTATTTATGTGTGTCATATCCAGTTGTACCTAATGTTATTGTTGTATGGTTGTATTTATGTCTGTCATTTTTCCTGTATTTCAAACATTTATTTTGTTTTCTGTATGTCTCATGACTATTTTGTTCCTCTGCTCTTTTACTATCTTCTTTTGTATTAAGTAGGCTTTGTCAAGTGTAACATCTTTAATTCCTTTAATAATTTTTTGAACTACATTTTTTGGTTATTTTCTCAGTAATAACTCTAGGAGCTACAATATATATTTTAACTCATCAGAATCTACTGCAGATGTATACAAACTTAATTCTACTAAGATATAAAAGCTTTACTTCTATATAGTTCCAGCCCCTTCCCCAACATTTTGTACTGTTTTTTGTTGTACATATTATGTCTACATATGTTACAAATACCATATTGTTATAATTATTGCTTTATATATTATATTTTAAAGAAGTTAATAGGAGAATACAAACATCCTTAAAGATATTTCTATCTTACCCTTCTAAATACACATATATATCTGTAAGAATACATCTATATAGGAATATAGCTGTAGAAATATGTTCTTTCTTATTTACCATTTCTGGTTCTCTTCATTTGTTTCTATGGATTTGACTTACTATCTGCTGTTATTTTTTTATTCAAATATAGCTTTATTTCCATCCCCCTCTGTTGTGTTTATTGTTAATTATATCTATATGTTATAAGCCCAATAAAATGTTATCGATATTGTTTTATGAAATTGTCTTTAATCAGTTAATAGAAGAAAGGGGAAGAAATATTTAATTATACTGTCTTGTAACATTAGCTACACACTATTGTTACTGTAACTCTTTATTTGTAAGGATTTGAATTACTATTTTGTGTCTCTTCCTTTCGCCTGAAAAACTTCCCTTTAGTATTTTTTGTAAGGCAGGACTACTACCAATAAATTCTCTCAGTTTTTCTTTATCTCAGAATGTCTTTGTTTAACCTTTATTTTTGAAAGATAACTTGGCTGGATATATAATTCTTTTTTGGTAGCTTTTTTTCTTCAACTCTTTAAATGTCATTTACTTCCTTCTGGCCTCCATTGTTTCTAATGACATGCCAGCTGTCAGTCTTATTATGGTTCCCTTCTATGTAATGCCTTTTTTTTTAAACTGCTTTCAAGACTTTATTTTTATTTTCATGTTCAGGTTTTTGACTATGATATATCTGGAGGTGGATGTTTTTCCACCTGTACTACTTAGAATTCAATGAACTTCTTGAATGTAGTGTTTTCCTACAAATTTGTAGAAATTTTAGTTATTATTTTATTTCTATATTTTTGTGCATATTTTTCTTTTTCTCTATCCTCTCTTGTTTTTAGAGACGGGTCTCACTCTCTTATCCAGGCTGGAGTGCAGTGTCTGTTCTTTCCTTCTGGTACTCTCAAAATGTGTATGTTGATGTGTTTAATGGCATATCACATTTCTCTGAGGCACTGTTTATTTTTCTTTCTTTCTTTCTTTTTTTTTTTTTTTGCCTGCTTTCCTTAGTTCTTTGAACATATTTACAACCATTGCTTTTAGTTTTTTGTTTTTTTTTTTAGATGGAGTCTCACTCTGTCGCCAGACTGGAGTGCAGTGGCGTGATCTCAGCTCACTGCAACCTCTGCTTCCCGGGTTCAAGCGATTCTTCTGCCTCAGCCTCTCAAGTAGCTGAGACTACAGGAACATGACAGAACACCCAGCTAATTTTTGTATTTTTAGTGGAGACAGGGTTTCACCATACTGGCCAGGATGCTCTCGATCTCTTGACCTCATGATCCACCTGCCTCGACCTCCCAAAGTGCTGGAATTACAGGAGTGAGCCACCGCACCCATCCAAATTTTTTACATGATAATTCCAACATCTTTATGTGATAAGGTCCCCTAAAATGTAGTTTCTCCTGCTTGCTGTTTTTCCTAAGTATAGGTCACACTTTTCATGTTTTTTTGCATGACTCACAGTTTTTTGTTGAAAACAACGTTTTAGGTAAAATATTGTAGCAACTCTGGATACTGACTCCATCCACCCATCCTGGGTTTGTGGTTATGAGTTTGATCATTTGTTTATCTGTTTGGTGACTTAACTGGACTAATTCTGTGAAGTCTGTTTCCCCCACAGCCTGTAGCCTCTGATATCTCTGCTCTGACTTTTTACTTGCAGTTATCTTTTAGCCTGGCTTCCCATGGATCACTCCTTGGTCAACATAAGCCATTTTGTGGTAATTTTTACCTTCTACTGTCAAATATGTATGTGGATTGAAGACTGCTTTTGTAATTCAGGGAGTTTTGTGGTTTTGCTCTGGATTTAGCCAGAGACTGGTAGCTTGGAAGTTTTGTCACCAGTCTCTCCTCAGACGGTGCAGCCTTCAGCATACACAGTCTTCTAGACCCACCTATGAGTATATTTTATTTTACAGTGGATAGAATAGATTATTTTCCCGTCAGTGATGCATCAAAGGTTGTACTATACTTATGTGCCTGAGTCAGTAAGGCATCAGCTCTTTGCTAATCAATCTGAATGTGGCTTGGGGAATACTTACAAGTCTGCATTACATCTTGCCCTGATTGGTACTGAGTAGGAGAGCCTGTGCATAAACACAGCCATCCAGACCCCAGGGATGAGTGTGCTCTTAGTGGGTCACTTTAGCTGTATGTTCTCTGCTTCTCTCTGTTAAACTTCTGGCTGGTCCTCTTTGTTTCTTTGTTGCTATTAGTTTTATGCAGCTCTTAACCTTCTAATTGTTCATGAACAAAAAAATAATTTCTGCCTTACAGCCATATAATATAACTGTAATTTGTACTTTTCTTACCTTTACAAAGTGACTGGAAAATGAAAGATTAGCCACTGAGTGGACACCCTAAATCAGGGGTTGGCAAAGTTTTTCAGTAGAGGGACAGAGAGTAAATACTTTAGGCTTTGCAACTCATAATGGTCTCTTGCAACTACTCATCTCTGTCATTATAGCACAAGAGCACCCAGAGTTAACATATAAATGAATGAGTGTGGCTGTGTTTCAATAAAGCATTATAGTTGACCCTTGAACAATGTGGGAGTTAGGGGTGCCAACCCACTGTGCAAAAATCCCATTGTAACTTTTGACTCCCCAAAAACTTAATAGCTAATAGCCTACTTATAGAAAGATGAATTTTAAAATAAGGTATTTATTGCAATGCATATTTAAATAAACCTTGCTACTTCCAATTGAATATTAATGTATTGAATTGCTGATAGTACCTTCAAGTTTTCTTCATTGCTGTTTGCTAAATTAGCCTACCTTTATGCTTTGAAAGTATTATATTTTCAGCTTAGACTAAACTTTGTAAGCTTTGGATTTTCTTGATTTTGTTAACTGTAGATATCGTGTTGAAGGGATAATTCCAGAATCAGCAGCTAAACTATCTGATTTCCTCTACCAAACTGGAGAGAGAGTTACATGGGATAAATCATTGCAAGTGTACGATATGGTACACAGGATTGATTCGGTAATTTGTTAATACTGGACTTTTAGAACATTAATATATTTTTAGCTTATACCTTAGTGAGTTGAGTTTATTAAAACTATGTTATGTAGACACAGTATTTTATAGTTTCAAATTGACTTGAAGTCTTTAGAAAAGCTTTAAAACTTCCCTACTTTCCAAGAGTTTAATTCCAATTAGCTTTATTCTGCTTGCAAATGCATTATTACATTTTGAATCTGGTAACCTCTCTTGCAATGTGTGCCATTTGTTATAAGGGAACAGAACTCAGGGATTCACCTCCATTACATGGAAAACAAAAGTTAAGTATGTCTTATTGATGGGAAGTCTGTAGATTTATTTTAGTCATATTACATTAGATATTAGGATACTTACAATCATAGCAGAAGGTGAAGGGAAAGTAAGCACATTTTACCATGACAGAGCAGGAGAGAGAGGGAGCAAAGGGGGAGATGCCACATATTTTTAAACCATCAGACTTCATGAGAACTCACTCACTATCATGAGAACAGGAACAATGCAGACACATACCATAAGGACTTAAAGAACAAACAGCATATAATGTTTAAGAGTAGGTGTATGAGTCCGTTCTCATACTGCTATGAAGAAATACCCAAGACCGGGTAATTTATAAAGGAAATATGTTTAATTGACACACAGTTCCACATTGCTGGGGAGGCCTCAGGAAACTTACAATCATGACCGAAGGCAAAGGAGAAGCAGGCACCTTCTTCACCAAGCAGCAGGAGGGAAACCACCCCTATGATCCAATTATCTCCACCTGGTCCCGCCCTTGACATGTGGGGATTACAATTCAAGGTGGGATTTGGTTGGGGACACAGAACCAAACCACATCAGTAAAGATAAAGTAAGGAAATAACATTATATAGAAGGTTGAAGTTTAGGAACACTTTCAAATATATTATCTCAGTTAAATAGATACAAAGAGAATAAAAACAAAGAGAAAATAAAGGTAACTGGAGTAGAAAGTTGAGAGAAGAGAGAATGTGAGAGGAAAGTATGGTTTAGAGAGAGACAGAAGAAAGGATCAGTATGAGGTAAGGGCAGAATGAAAGCTCAGGAGTAGAAAAAATGAATGAAATGACAGGAATAATGATACATGGCAAAAAGAGGTTGCATTAGTCTGTTTTCACACTGCTATAAATAACTACCTGAGACTGGGTAATTTATGAAGAGAAAAGGTTTACTTGATTCAGTTCTTTTTTTTTTTTTTTCCCCTGAGATGGAGTCTTGCTCAGTTGCCCAGGCTGGAGTGTAGTAGGGGGGTCTTGTCGCACTGCAAGCTCCGTCTCCCAGGTTCACGCCATTCTCCTGCCTCAGCCACCCGAGTAGCTGGGACTACAGGCACCTGCCACCACACCTGGCTAATTTTTTTTTTTTTTTTTTTTGTATTTTTAGTAGAGACGGAGTTTAATCATGCTAGCCAGGATGGTCTTGATCTCCTGACCTCGTGATCCACCCGCTTCGGCCTCCCAAAGTGCTGGGATTACAGGCATGAGCCACCGCGCCCGGCTGACCCACAGTTCTATAGGCTTCACAGGAAGCATGCATGACTGGGAGGTCTCAGGAAATTTACAATCATGGCAGAAGGTGAAGGGGAACACCTTGGCATGAGGTAACAGGTAACTCTTCTGTTACCATGGCAGAATAGGAGAGAGAGGGAACTAAGGGGGAGGTACCACACACTTTTAAACCATCAGATCTCATGAGAACTCACTCACTCATGAGAACAGCAATTGGGAAATCTGCCCCATGATCCAATTACCTCCCACCAGGCTGATCCTCTAATTCAACATGATATTTGGGCAGGGACACAAATTCAAACCACATCACAAGTAGAAACAAGGATGAAGAAGTGGGATAAGTGATTCCAAACTTTGGTCCAGCACACTATAGATATCTCATTTATTTATTAAGGCCATTGTAAAAATAACCACCTGGGACTGAGCGCAGTGGCTAACACCTGTAATCCCAGAACTTTGGGAGGCAGAGGCAGATGGATCACCTGAGGTCAGGAGTTCGAGACCAGCCTAGCTAACATGGTGACCCTGATTCTACTAAAAATACAAAAAATTAGCCAGGCGTGGTGACATGTGCCTGTGACCCCAGCTATTTGGGAGGCTGAGGCAGGAGAATCGCTTGAACCCAGGAGGCGGAGATTGCAGTGAGCCAAGATCATACCATCACACTCCAACTTGGGCAACAAGAGTGAAACCCCGTCTCAAAAACAAACAAATAAATAAATAACCACCTGGAGGGATGGAGGGATGATTCTCCTCTCTTCCAGTAATATGTCCATTCCAGTTGTTTGTGTTTTCTCCGTCTTAGGAAACCTGTTTCTGGGGGAATCCTGACTTTGTTCCAAACTCTCCCAGACTGATGTTTATGTTCTTTTGACTAATTAATTCACTTCACAAATACTTCACACTTCACAAATACTTTTTGAGCAGCTACTGTGAACTCCATACTGTTTCAGTTCACTAGGGACACATAAGAGAAGAAGACAGAAATTGTCCCTGCTTTCACAAAACTTATATTCTCACCAGAAGACACATAATAAACAAATAAACAATTTGTTAAAACTTATCAGATAATGAAGGCTAGGATTGGTAAGAATAAGTGTTATGAATGATAATAGTATAGGCAATAACCAGGAGAAGTTAATTTATAGCTAGAGAATTGGGAAAGGCCAGTCTGAGTGAGAGACATTAGAAACCTGGGTAACAAAATGGAGGTTGGGGAGATAGACATGGAAAGATCTGGGAGAGAATAGCAGACACAGGGGAAAGCAAATACAGAGGTCTTGAGGTGGAAAGAGTTTGGCAGTGTTTAATCAGAAGATAAACAAGATCTGTGGGGTTTGACCATAAAAAGCAAGGAGAAAAGTGGTTAAGAGGTGAGAGGTTAGGCTGGGATCAGATTCTGCAAAAGTATCAAAGGTCAGGGGGAGAAGTTTTGCTATACATTCAGTGGGAAGCCATTGGTGTGTTTTAAGCAGGGAAGTGACTGATTTGATTTACACTTTTAAGAGACAGCTGCTGAAAGAAGCATGGATTATAAGGGGGTAAGAATGAAATCAGCACAAACAGTTATGAGGCTATGAGAGTAATCTAAATGAGACATCATGGTGGCTTGTGCTAGGGTTGTAGACATGGAGAGGGAGGTAAGTCAGGAAACCCAAAGATACAGAGATAGAGTCAATAGGGCTTACTGATGCAGGCAGAGAGGAATCAGATAAGTCTTCTAAAACTGGACTGTAGTGAAATTACACAAATAAATTTCCTTTGGGAAATTAATTGAACTATATACTTAAAATAGGTGAATTCATGGTATGTATATTATACTCAATAAGCTGTTTTTAAAAATGAGTCCTAGATTTTTGGCTAATAGTAGCTTTATTTAAAAGAGAAACGTGAATGATGGAATAAAACTAACTTTTATGATTTTCACAAATGATTGCATTTGTAAAATTTCAGATCACTAGGCCTTTAGTTCTTTAAGTCTCCAACCTATATTTCATTTATCAAACAAAAATAAGTAAATAAATGTCCCACATATCTGCCATAAAATTATCATTTATTTAGAACTTCATAATTTTACCTACTTTTATTAAACTCATCTTAAAATCTAGGAGAGAAGAGTTGTAGAAAAGCCCTTGAAGGTAAATCTGTTTCATCTTGTAGAAAGTCCTTGATCTTCATCTTGTAAATCAGTTTTATTTTGTAGAGAGGAAGTGCCTATCCACAAAAAACACATGTCCATGATCTTCTTGGGATTTGAACATTCAATTTGAGAACCACTGGGCATCACAAATGAAAATCCAAAAATTTAACTATTTCATTCATCGTTTTATAATCATACAGTTCGATTAGCACTTCAGGTATTTCTATTGTTGTTTCAAGCCATATGGTATAATAGAAAGACTACTAGACGTGACATCCAAAAACCTGAAAACAAATTCAGAGAGATTTTGTGACTTACTCAAGGATAATGCAGCCAATATGTGGTAGAACGAGGACTTGTACCTGGTCTCCTAATTCTAAATTAGAATTATTTTCCCTTTCTGTAAAGATTTATAGTATTCATCTCCAGGAGTATGTTTTATTTACTTATTTATTTTTATAATTATTATTCTTTTTAGAGATAGGGTCTCACTCTGTTGCCCAGGCTAGTGTGCAGTGTTGTGATCAAAGCTCACTCTAGCCTCAAACTCCTGGGCTCAAGCGATCATCCTACCTAAGCCTCCCAAGTAGCTGGAATTACAGGCATGTGCCACCACGCCTGTTCAAGGATGTGTCTTAACTGCCTCCTCTTCAACCTATTGGTGAGGGAGAGAGTCCCACTCTAGGGTTATGGGGATGGTCAAACACATAATACCCCACAATGGACAAGTGAGGTAGATTGAAGTTTATTAATCATTGATCACAGACCAAGAAGGGAGAACAAACTATGCAACACAGGGCAACATAGGAACAGAGTGAACACCTAGGGGCTGTGGGAGGCAGCCTTTGTGTCAACAGGGTAGAGTGAGCCCCGGTTCCTGCAGAAGAATGTGATTGTCTTGTTTGAATGATTCCATGGGCCAGCAGGGAACTGAGACCACTAAACAGGGATAAATAGTAACCGTGCTGGTCCTGTTAAGAAGGAGGATTGTTTGGCTAGGGGATCTTATCTGCAGGAATGAAGAGGGAAAGGAATGTGTAGTTAGGCCATTCAAGACCAACATTGGTCTTTAATTTTAGACCTTACACTACAGGGTGCTAAATCAATGTATTTTTCAGAATATATTACTTAACCTATGTGGAGTAGTAGAAATAGTGCTATATGGGGAATCAGGAAACCTGGGTTCTATTTCTTTACTTATCTCTAGTTGTGAATGTGATTTAATCTGTTAGGCTTCAATTTCTCCATCTAAAAATGGAAAGAGTAGATGATCTCAAAATTGCTTCTTGAATTTTCTACACTCATAGATTTAATGCTCCTTTAACACTCAAAATCCAAGCTGATTTGGTGATGAGGTCTTAAAATTTCAAAGCCCTGCTTTTTCCAAATGGAGGCCAATCATATGCAATAAAATTTGGGAGGGAAACAATACAAAGAAAAGATATTAAATAATGGTTGTTTTCTTTATGGTTTGATTTGTTGCAGGACACATTCATATGTCATACCATTACACAAAGTTTTGCCATGGGCTCCATTTCCCCTCGAGACTTTATCGACTTAGTGTACATCAAGCGCTACGAAGGAAATATGAACATTATCAGCTGTAAGTTGAAGCATTTTGCCCATATCTTGGAATTACTATGAACCATTAATAAATGTTTTCCCTTTATTCACAGCTTCAAATAAATTATATTTATAATTATTTCCTTTTTAAGTTTACTCAGTAGGATCAACAAGTACACGTATCATGTAGATATGCCTGTGACACTCCGAAGGTGCCATTTATATAATGGTCAATGTTTACAACATCTCTTAGACTTTTGTAGCATATATCATGTAGCAGTGAATACAGATAGATACTTGTAGCCTAAAACTTCAAGTATACGTTTTTAAAATCCGAAGAAACAAAATTAATTGTTAGATATGATTTTATATTTGAATTGCTTATAATGAGCATATCCAGTAACTGATAAAACTGTTAAAGAAATTTCCACGGCCGGGCGCGGTGGCTCAAGCCTGTAATCCCAGCACTTTGGGAGGCCGAGATGGGCGGATCACGAGGTGAGGAGATCGAGACCATCCTGGCTAACACGGTGAAACCCCATCTCTACTAAAAAATATAAAAAACTAGCCGGGCGAGGTGGCGGGCGCCTGTAGTCCCAGCTACTCGGGAGGCTGAGGCAGGAGAATGGCGTGAACGCAGGAGGCGGAGCTTGCAGTGAGCCGAGATCCGGCCACTGCACTCCAGCCTGGGCGACAGAGCGAGACTCCGTCTCAAAAAAAAAAAAAAAAAAAAGAAATTTCCACTAGATGGCTCTTTACATAAATGTGCTTTTATTTCTTTTAGAAACTGCAGGTTTTGATATATACCTATCCCCACTCCCAAATGTGTCACTCTGTAAAATGCATATGTGTAATTTTCTAACTTGCATTATTGATCAAAACATACCATTCCATACCATGAGGATCTATGGACTCAGATAACTTAAGATAACTCATGGTGAAGGAACTTTGGTAGCACAGTGGCATAGAGCCCGTTTTTCTCTATAATTTGAATTAATTTCACTATTCCTACTTGGGACTAAGGACAATTACATTTTGTTAATTATTATTTCCCAGCAGGATTTCAGTTCCTTCGAGATATCTTTAGTACTCTACTTTTCAGAGTCCAGACTGCGTCGTAGCACTCATTCAAACCCAGTTAGCTCTTTCTTCAGCATGCCACTAAGGGCTGATGTTTATAATGTCCATATATGTTTAGTTGTCTCATTTTTGAAATGAGGGCACATATAATGTATTCATGGCCTACAACATAAAATAGTCTGTCTAAACAGATCATACATCTGTTATTTTCCATATTTTGAAAGCAGACCATTTCTATATAATTATTAGTGATCAGAGGGAAGCTAAAAAAGAAGTAGAGATTAAAATCAACAACTAGAGGTAATCAACCTCTAGTTGATAGTGATTTGGTGCACAAATCACTATTGAATTTGCTTTAAAAGTTTCCATTGAATGAATTTTTGATCAGTACTCATAGTTTTCTTAACATTTCTTTTTTTTATCCTACCCTGTACCTTGCTATAAGCTAAATATTTTGCTTGCATTATCTCACTAGTGAGGAAACTGAAGTTCATGGAAATTAAGCAGTTAAGAAATTAAGTTACATAGCTAATAAGCAGCTAACCCAGAATTAAAACTCAGTTCTTTCTGATTTTCCAAAATAAGTGCTAACTACCACACCATATGCTTCATAAAAGACCCATACCTGTTTGTAGACTACAACAGATTTTTTTTAAAGAAGACAAGCAGAATTTCCATATTTCAAACAGAGAAAAAATCTTTTATAATAACATCACTTCTGGCAGTACTATTATAGGCTCTGTCAAGATAATGATATAAGTCATAAAAATGGAAAATTTATTCAACAACTCTAGTCTCCAAGTTAGTGTTTTACATTGTATTTCCCATGGAATTGATTTGCTTATGTTAAAATCATATCAGAAAATCCATCTTCTCTGATAAGAGTAGGATTCAGTTGCACAGAATAAACACATATATGTTTTAAAATATTTTTAGAAAGAGTATATATATATTATCATAAATTAAATCATAAACCAACCCCCTCTGCATTCACATAGAATACAGATACTATGTTGCATAATTCTAAAATAAACTCTACTGATTTTCAGTTAGAGTTTGCAGTTAGTTACAGGGAATTGCAGAAGGGAGCATTTTAAAATATCGTTATTGACAGACCATCTAACCACTTCAAATATTTTACTTAAAAAAAAAAATGATTAACAAAAAAATCTATGAACCCAGGACCCTAGTAGAATAGTTTTCACCCAAAGCCAGTTAACGGTCTTCACTCAAACCCAGTGAGATTTAAGTTAGTTATAGGCATTAACTATTTTCTGAGATTTGAGCCATCTTTTGCTTCAAATCTCAGAAAATAGTTCAATGATACTTTTAACCATTTTTCTTGTATACAGAAGTTGACAGCATCTTTAGAAATACTAGCAGGAAAAAATTTAAGAGGACAATAGTGCTGATACTGGTATTTTCTCAATTTTGGCTTCATATGTGCAAATAAACATTCACATATATAAAACTAATGTTAATGCTATTAACCAACTTAAATGCTATATTATATATTTTTAAAAATATGCTGCTGGAAATAATTTTTCCTCTTTGTGAAATAGGTTTCATTTTAATTTTTCAAAATCTCTTAGCTAAAAGCGTGGATTTTCCAGAATATCCTCCATCTTCAAATTATATCCGTGGTTATAACCATCCTTGTGGCTTTGTATGTTCACCAATGAAAGAGTAAGTGTTATTTGCACTTATTTATTTTAACAGGTTTTTTAGTTCAACTTGTGATTTAGTTCAAGATTCCTGGCTCATCAGTAGAAATACGTACCAGCATATTCTGTTGGGGAAAAAAAAAACTGCCCCTAAATATGATTTTTCAAATAACTTCATATAATCATTTTCATTTTAAGTATAATCAGAATGGATACTTCCCTATAAAGTATGATCTGAGGTTTCTGAGAACAATCAAACACACACAAACATTTCCCAGCAGTTAAGCTTCCTTGATATTTTCTATTTCTCCATTAGAGTCATTTCTGTAAATTATTAAGGAACTTTTATGAATTAAAAATAAACTTTCCTAGAATTATAACACACATTTATCAGTAATGAATGCTTTACTTTGAATGAATTCTTCCCAATGGACTACTTACTAAGAGCAGATACCTGCAAAATAAGATCCAGTAGGTACATTCAGATAAAAGAAAAGCTGAAGAAATCAGAGATGAGTCACTGCCTAAAGGTGGCCTTGGGATAAAATGGCAGCATAAAATATACATATTTTGTAAAAGCATATACTCTAATTCAATGTATATCATTTCATAAGTTCCTTAAGTTTTAATGTTTGCTAAATGATTTTTTATTGAGTAAAAGATATTGGCACATGAAAACAGATGCATTGGTTAGATATAAATGTTTCAGTACAAGAAAAAAAATGTATGTGAAGGAAGCCCAAATGAAATTAAATTTTGGACCTGTATTCCTTAACATTTCCTCTACTGAATTGGAAAACTAAAAAACCTCACAATTATTCACGTTAATGTACAGGATTGTTGATACAGATAATAATAACAATGCGTGGTCTTTCTACCCATTTGTCAATTTTGAATCTATGGCCAAGATTTTATTCTCCATAGCAGGAGAAAACAAAACAAATGAAGGGTAATTACACCAATTCAGCAAGGTAATCAACCACTGGCACGGACTATAGTTGGAAAATTTTACACCTTAAAGCATGCTTCACTGGCCAAGTCCCCTTCTTGCACCTTGTCAATGCAGAAGTGCACTCCAGTAAATATTAGAAAGGCTTTCTTATGTGTGTAAAGCCATTGTAAACACAAAGAAAGATTTAAGACCATAGAAACTACTAGTAAGGACAGCAGTTCCCATTTATCCATGGAGATATGTTCCATGACCCCAAGTAAATGTCTAAACCCATGGATAGTACCAAACCCTATGTATACACCATGGTTTTTTGATCTCATAGTCAAGGAGGCTACTAAGTGACTAATGGGTGGGTGGCCTATACAGCCTAAATACGCTGGTAAAGGGATGATTTCACATCCTGGGTGGGACAGAGCAGGATGATGTAAGATTTCATCACACTACTCAGAACAATGTGCAATTTAAGGCTTATGAATTTTTCTTATTTCTGGAATGGGTCGACCTTAGGTAAATGAAACTGCAGAAAGTGAAACAGAGGATAAGAGGGAACTACTCTGTTCTCAATCTAGCCATTTGAGGCACTGTAAAAATAGTCTAAACCTTGCATGGAGAAAAGTATAAGAAAATGGACACTCACGCTATTTGTTGGAACGGTCGTCTTCCTTGAAAATTTTATAAAACTATATTCTCCCTTGCACATTTTTAAGTTGACATTAAAATTTTTCATAGGGATTACATTGATGAAAAGTAAATTACATTGATGAAAAGTACAATTCCCAGCATGTGCTAAACATTGACTTTTTTAAAAAAATGGTTATATCATCCTTATAAACATATCCAGTAGATTATAAATACCATAATTTGAAACCCACCATTAAATTATTCACTTTAAAATAAATACAACTTTTAACAGTCAGAAAATTTACATCATTCCTTTCTTCCTTGAACTCACATTTTTATTTTTCCCCTCATATAATTTTATTCTAATAGAATATATTTTATGGTTTGAATTATTTCATAGTCATCCTAATTCTTTGCAAAAATGACATGTGTTTAAAGTTTTAAAATTTGTTTTACTTCCCATAACTCTACTGTCTAACAACTACAAATATATATATGCCTTCTGGATTAAGTTATCATTACATATTGATCAAAATTAAAAATATGTTTATATATAAATATTAAACATAGTGCAAACTGTTATTAGAAACACATATTTTATTATTAGCAAAACTGAAATAGCACTTACTATGTGCTAGGCACTGTTATAAACAATTTGCATATATTGACTCATTTGATCTTCAAAGTAACCCCATAAAGTAGGTAGTATGACTGTGCCCAATGGGCAGGAAAGAAAGTGGAAGCTCAAAGAGATTAACTATCTGAAGGTTATATATAGGTAATAGCAAAGCTCAGTTTCAAACCAAGGCAGACTAGTTCCTGAGTCCACGCTTTTAACCATTACACTCATTTCATTTAACTGTGGGTGTATATTACTGATAAGACAGCATTAAATATCAAGTCTACTGGTGCTTTCATTTTAAGAAAACTGAAGAAAATTTATTAACATAAATGTGTTAAAATGGAGAGTATAATTCCAGCACTGTCAATTAAATAATTTCTGATTTAATAATAATTAATAAAAATAAATTTCAGAATTATATAAAAATATTTTTTATTTTATTTTTATATAAAAATTTATGAATTATATACCATAAATTATGTAGTGACCGATCATCAAAAAATAGTTATCATTAAAAAAAGACTTGGCCAGGCATGGTGGCCCTCACTTATAATCCCAGCACTTTGGGAGGCTGAGGTGCCGTGGATCACCTGAGGTCAGGAGTTCAAGATCAGCCTGGTCAACATGGTGAAACCCCGTCTCTACCAAAAATACAAAAATTAGCCAGGCATGGTGGCGCATGCCTGTAGTCCCAGCTACTCGAAAGGCTGAAGCAGGAGAATCGTTTGAACCCGGGAGACTGAGCTTGCAGTGATCCCAGATCATGCCACGGCACTCCAGCCTGGGTGACAGCGTAAGACTCTGTCTCAAAAGAAAAAAAAAAGACCTGTCAGCTGACAGCTCAATTAGATCCTTCAGTTTTACTGAAAAAAAAAAAAAAAAAAAAAAATGGCATGACTTGGAAAAGATTTTTTTCTCAATCCGCTTCTACTCAGATTTTCCCTTTAGCATCTCAAAGATTTTTACATACCAAGGTAAAGCACCATAGTACTATTTAGTGTGGATAACAGGTATGCCTTTGTTGTATAAAGCAAGAGAAGGGCGATTTTGAACAGGCTGATAGGAAAGAAAAAGCCCACATCTCCATCAGAGACATATTTACACATCAGATTAAGGAAAAAATGCATATGGAAGTTAGAGATTTGAAAACTTATTCTCTTAAAAGTATTCATCCTTTCCTACTCCAGTGTGAAGATCGGTGGGCTAGAATATAAAATACCACTTAGAGTGCAGTTTGGAATTAACATGTCAAAAAGCTTAATGCACAAACCTTTGACCTAGAAATTATAAGTATTTATAAAAGTGTAAATGGGGCTGGGTGAGGTGGGTCACACCAGAAATCCCAGCATTTTGGGAGGCCAAAGTGAGAGGATCGCTTGAGGCTGGGAGCTTGAGACTAGCCTTAGCAACATAATGAGACCCTGTCTCTTTAAAAAAAATTTTAAATCTAGCCAGGCATGATTGGGCATGCCTGTAGTCCCAGCCACTCAGAAAGCTGAGGCTGGAGAATCGCTTAAACTCAGGAGTTCGAGGCTGCAGTGAACTATAATCACGTCCCTGCACTCCAGCCTGGGCAACAGAGTAAGACTGTGTCTCAAAAAAAAAAAAAAAAAAAAAAAAAAAAAAAAAAAAAAAAAAGCATAAATGGATACATTACAAAGATATTTTATTGCAGCTTTACTTACAGTAGCCAAAAGTGAGAAACAACCTAAATGATAGTCAATAAAAGGACTGTTAAATAGAATAGAAATACTGTCTGTAGCCATGAAAAACAGTTAAGTAGATCTGTATGTACAGACACAGAAGGAAGTTCATAAGATAAAAATAAAACTAGTTGCAGAAAAATGTCTCCATTAAAAAAATAAAACTCTATTTATATATGTGGGGTACATACTCATTTATGTACAGATGTATGCTGTCTTTGTATATATGTGTGTGTATATATATACACACATATCTATATAGACAGTCACCTGAAAAGATAACAATTAAAATTATATACAGTGATTATCTCTGGGAAACAGGATAAGGGAAATAAGGGAGGGAAATTTTTCTTTAATTATGAAAAATTTATATTGTTTAAATTTTCATAATAAGCATACATTACTGTTAGAATTTTTAAAAGTCAGTAAAATGACAAAAAGAAAAGGGTGCCTAAAACTGAAGGTTTTAAGAAATATTCTAGCCACTTAATATTTTTAAGTACAATTTTTAAGTATGTCAATGGTGAATAAGAATCCTGCTCTCCAAAAACCTGTAAATTCAGTAGGTAAATCTAAAAATTTCTTATCTTTTTTTTAAACTCTTCTTTTGCTTACAGAAACCCAGCATATTCCAAACTAGTGATGTTTGTCCAGACAGAAATGAGAGGAAAATTGTCCCCATCAATAATTGAAAAAACCATGCCTTCCAACTTAGTAAACTTCATCCTCAATGCAAAAGATGGAATAAAGGCACACAAAACTCCATCAGGACGTGGATTTCGTCATAATAGTCATTCATGATACCAAAAGAAGAAATGAGGCCATTCTGCTATAAAATCATGTGTAGTAGTTATTGCAGTTTACTTCTAAGTCAACATGCATAAATAATACTGTTAAACTATTCTAAACAATATTCTTGTACACATTGCTGAAGATAGTTCATAAAAATAAGAACTCATAGTTGTACAAGAATATGGCATTAAATACAGTTTTTAATCTCACATAAGAATGATGTTAAATAACAAGTGGTATTAGCATATTTTCATCTTTTGCTTTTGTCCCTGTAAAATCCTCTGTATAAGAACCAATAAGAAAGCAGATACAGTCAGAGGTCAGCATTAACTAAAGGTTAAAATATACTTTAAATTGTTTTTCTTTCACTTACTGCTTAAATTGAGAATTGTAGGAAAAATGAACATAAAAATTGAAAAGAATTCCACTAAAATGTATGACTAATGACATTTAGAATTTTAAATGGAATGAGTCATCAAACAATTTCTGGTGTGGCCAAGATGCAATAGCCCATTCCTCCCAAGTCTTTCCTCTTAAAACTTAAAGACCCTGCACATAACACAACAAGCAAGCATAGGAAAACTCAAGCATAGGTGGAAAGAATGCAGCAAGCTCATCTATGGACGTTGGGACTTAAGGAATGACATTCAGTGAGTTCTCTGGGTTTCCTTATTGCCTCCCACATATCCCAGGTGGGAAAGACACACACACACACACACACAACTGCATGCATGAAAAGCCTTCTCCTCCTAGTCATAGGACCAGGTGCCTAACAGAACAAAAACCCTTTTTTGTAATGCCCACCCTACACCAGCCAAGCATCAACCTACAAGCCACCCCCATGGTTTCAGTGTGGCAGAGCAAGGAGATACTTTTCCATCCTACCCACCCCCATCCCACAGAAGCAGATGGGAGTGCCCTGACACACCCCTATCCTATGGTGTCTGCAAAGCTGAGCAGGGAGCTAATCTCCCATCTTCTACCAGGCAGATGTAGGCAGCACTGATTGCCCTTCCAGGTGATGTAGACTGACCAAGCAGGGAGCTGATTTTCTGTCTTCCACTCAGCAGAAGCAGGAGGTAATATAGGTAGTATGAGTGAAGTCCAGTGACAAAGACAGCTTCCACCCCCAGCTGGCAGCAACGAGACTTAACCAATGTCTTAGTCCATGTTCTGTGGCTATAACAGAATACCACAGGTTGAATAATTATAAAGAAAAGAAGTGTATTTAGTTCACAATTCTGGAAACTGAGAAGTCCAAGAGCCTGGTACCGACATCTGGTGAGGGCCGTCTTGCTACATCATAACATGGTGGAGGGCATCACATGGCATGAGGGTAAGAGCAAGAGAGACCTCACTTTTATAACAAAACCACTCCTGTGATAGTAACATTAATCCATTCATAAAAGCAGAGGGACATTCAACCCATAGTAACTAGGTAGTGCAAAGAAAGACTAGTGACCAGGGAGCTTCACTACCCTCTCCCACCCCTACTCCCACCCCTGGAGTCACCAAGGCCCACCAGGATGCTAAGCCTCCATCCCCACCCTCCATCAGGGTGTAGTGGGAACAGTGACCCACCAAAAAAAATGTCCATGTCACATCCCTGGAACTTGTGAATGTGACCTAATTTGGAAAAAGGGTCTTTGCAAAGATAATTAAAGATCTCAAGATGAGATCACCCTGAATTATCCTGGTGGCCCTAAATCCAAAAACAAATGTCCTTATAAGAGATACATAGAGGATAGAGACATGGAGAAGAGGAGAAAGCCATGTGAAGACAGAGGTAGAGACTGGAGTTTTACAGCCACAGCCCAGGAACACTTGGAGCCACGAGAAACTGGAAGAAGTGAAAAAGGATTCTCCCCTAGAGCTTTCAGAAGGAGTGTGGCCCTGCTTTCAGACTTCTGGCCTCCAGAGTTATGAGACAAAAAATTTGTTTTTTTAAGTCACTAAATTTGTGGAAATTTGTTATAGTTTCCATTGGAAACTAATATACCCTCTCTGGTGTTAGCAGGGTTCAGCAGGGATCTGAGCCTCCATTCCCACCTGGGTATCAACAAGGTGAAACAAAGAGGTAGGACACGGGCCTAGGCAGCACTCCATTTCCTTGTCACCTCCCCTGTGTCATCAGGTTCCATTGGGGAGGTAAGCTTCCAGTCCCACTGGGAAGCAAAAAGGATGTGCAAATCAGTGCCCCCCTTTGCCAGGAGGATGTCAGCAGGGCCAGAAGGGGAGCTGAACTGCCACCTCACCCATCTGCAGTGAGAGGAAGTCTGTGCTCTACTTTTGCCAGAGTGGTGATGGCAGGGCCCAATGGAAGGCTAAACCAACACATCCACCCAGTCCTCATACTACACCTGAACAGCAGGACTGCCTGCTAAAAATGAAGATTAAATAGGATCCAGAGGTCTTCAGAAAGAAAAGAGCATTGGAATGGGTAAAAATAAACTGTTCTCGTGAGTATATTAAATCACCTTTGATGGGTGACAAAGGTTTAAAAACAATTCAGTGGAACAGCCTTTCAGCAAATGGTGTTGGAGCAGCTGGACATTCATAGGCCTTGATCTAACCTTACGCTAAGTACAAAAATTTACTTAAAATGGAATATGGAGTTATATGCACAATATAAAACTATAAAATATTTAGAAGAAAAACACAGGATAAAATTTTCAGAACCTACAACTAGGCAGAGATATTACACTTGACACCAAATCAAGATTCTTAACAGAAAAAAATGACAAATTGACCTTAATCAAAGTTAAAAAAGAAAAAAAGGTATACTACGTGAAAGACCTGAGAGGATGATGGAAAGATAAGTGATAGACTGGAAAAAAAAATATTTGCAAGACATTTCCAACAAAGTACTTGTAACTAAAATATATAAAGAGCTTTCAAAACTCAACTGTATAAGAAACAATCTAATTAGGGACAAAGACATGGACATTTCACTAAGATATCCATATCAAAAGATGTTCAGCATCATTGGCCATTAGGTAAAGGCACATATCAGTACAAGCTTACCAGAATAGCTAAGTTTTTTTTTAATAGTGATAACATCAGGTGGTGGCAAGGATTTGGAGAAAATGGATCACTCATACATTGCACCTGGAAATGTGAAACGGTAACTGCCTCTCTGGAAAAGTGCGGCAGTGGCTTGCAAATCAAACAAACACTTACTGTACAACCCAGCAATTGTACTCTTCATCCCATAGAAATGAAAGCATTTACACAAAAACATGTACACAAATGTTGATAGTAGCTTTATTCCAAATAGCCAAAAACTTGAAACAACCCACATGGGTGAAGAGTTAAACTGTGGTAATCCATACACAGAATACTACTAAGTAATAAAAAGAACAAACTATCGATGCACACAACAACTGGAATCATCTCAGGGGAATAATACTGAATGAAAAAGCCAATCTCATAAGGTTAAATAGTGCATTCTTCCATTTATTTAACATTTTTGAAATGACAAAATGATAGAGATGAACAGAATTAGTGGTTTCTGGGGTTAGGGAGGTAGTGGGAGGAGAAGAAAGAAAGTGGCTGTCGCTTTGAAAGGGTAGCAGGAGGGATCCTTGTGATAAACCTGCCCTGTGCATTGACTGTGGTGTGGTCACATGAATCTATACATGCAATAAAACTGCATAGAATTAACACGCATAAATGAGTGCATGTAAAACTGGTGGTATCTAAATAAAGGCGGTCAAAATTCAAGTGTGGGAACATACAGAAATACCATTCTCATTAAGAGTAATTAGGTCTTTTCATGGCACTCACTTCAAACTCCTTTAGTAATCACCCTCTAGCTTCAGAAGTTTGTCTTCCAGCCTTCTTTGCATGAGAGAGGATGCACAGAAATCTGGGGATTGGGGACCTGTGGGAAGAAGAAGGGCACAGTGGGGGAGAAGCTGGAAGGCACATAAAAAACCACTACAATTTAAAAGAGCAGCATAACTAAAGGGAGACTGTCTTCTGTTCCCAACTCTCTTCCTAAATCTACTGGGATTCTGAGTGTTATTTTCCCTTTTCTACTGAATGTTCGGCAGACATAATTAAAGTTGTAGTTATACTATGATTTAGAATATGCCTAATTTTGTGAGTATGCAACTTTTACTATTTTCCAATTTAGACTTTACTCTTAGAAGAATGTGAGCCTTTTAGCCACCCCTAAACATACAAATAACCAAATTATACATTTTATAAAATATATATCCCAAGAAAGATAAAAATCTTGAAATCAGAAAACCAAACATAAGTTTTTTCTTTGTCTTACAGATAGGAAAATTGGATATTTAATTAACCTGTCTCCTATTTAAGGTAAAATGTAAATAATAATAGCAAACAAATTTAAAGGAAATAATACCAGGTATTGTATCTTTGATTCCTTCTCCTTGCCCTGTCATCATCTCCATATATTATGGCATTTTGTCACTTCGATTACTTCTAAATAGCTAGGTATTGCAGAAGGTACCATATATGATAATAACTATCACATAAAACAGAAAGGTTTAAAGGTAAGTAATACTGGCATCCAAATAATATGACAAATAAAAATAATTTAACAATTCTGAACTTAGATTTTTCTATAAATCTTATCTTTCTTACCATATAACTCCTCCAATACTTTCAGATATTCAGACATTAGTGGACTTACCAAAACAAAAATATTTATATTTAACTAAATATAGTCATAAATAGTCTTACCAAGAAATTATCAAGACTATTTATGCCCCATGTCCCTTTTCAATGTCCCTTCTCTACCATGATTTTGGACACATAATATTAATGAATCAGAACAGTAGATTCCATGGCGGTGGGGGGGGACATTATTATATTAGTTAAGAAAATGTTTGGCTGCAAACAACAAAAATATGATTTATAGGGGACATAAATGTTGAGAGGTTTATTGATCTCATACAATAAGTCTGGGAGTCTGCAGTAGAGATCTGACATGATGGCCTAATACTGTCATTAGGGACCAATGCTCTTTACAGCACTCAGTTCTGCCATACTTAGCTTACAGCGTTTGTCTCTCTGGTGGCACTGTACCAGTGCTCTAAGCAGGAAGAAAAAGAGTGAAAGGCAAAAGATATTTTAGCTGAGTTTAGTCCTATTTCATAGCTTTCTTGGGAACCCCCATACCCCAACAAAGATGCTTACATCTCATTAGCCAGAAATGGAACACTGTTCACATCTGGCTGCAAAGGCATCTGGAAAGGTATTCCAGTATCTATAGTAAAAAAAGCAAAGAAGTTCCACTAGAGTGCAGAAAGTAGTACAACTTATATTTATATTTATATTTATTTTTTCAGAAAATTAATTAAGCTTTACTAATACAGAATATGCAGCTTGACTTTACTATCTTATTTATTAAAACTTATTTTGCTATTTCAGTGGTTATTTTAGGGTTTATATTATACATCTCTAACTTACCACAGTCTGTCTTCAAGCTGTAACCCACCACTTCATGTTTAGTTTAAGGGCCTTACAATAATATATTACCATTTATATACTTAAAATTGTATACTTCCCCTCCTGGCCTTTGTACTATTGTTACCTTTTACTCCTACATACATTGTAACCCTCCAATATATTTTTAATAATTTTTATTTTTGTTTTATATAGCCAACTTTTAAAAAGACACTTGGAAATAAGAAACAAAAAAAGCTTTTAAATATACCTACATTTCTGGTGCTCCTCATTTCTGTATGTAGATCTGTATTTCCATCTGGTGTGCTCTTCCTGCCTGTTGGACTTCCTCTAATTTTATGGGTACTGTAGGTCTACTGGGCATGAGTTCTTTCATATGTATGCCTTATGTTCTTATTTTACTTTTTTAAAAAAAGATATTTTTGCTGGGTCTGGAATTCTAAGTTAACAGACTTTCCCCCCACTTCTTTACTTCATTTGAGGATGTTAGACCACTGTCTTCTGGCTTCCAATGTTTTCAAAATTGTTGGTTTTGCTTGTTTTTCTCTAATAGTATGTCTTTTTGAAGGGATGGTGTTTATCACTGGTTTTAAGAGCTCTGATTAGGATATTCTTTGGTATAGTTTTCTTCATGTTTATTGTACTTGGGATTTGCCAAGCTCTTTGGACCTGTGGGTTTATAGTTATCCTCAAATTTGGAAAAATTTCTCCATTGTTTCTTCAAATATTTTTTACATCTCCCACACTCTTCTTTGGGGACTTGAATAAGACATGTATTGACCAGGCACGGTGGCGCACACCTGTAATCCCAGCACTTTGGGAGGCCAAGGTGGACGGATCACCTGAGGTCGGGAGTTCGAGACCAGCCTCACTAACAAGGAGAAACCCTCTCTCTACTAAAAATACAAAAAATTAGCCGGGCCTGGTGGTGCATGCCTGTAATTCCAGCTACTCGGGAAGCTGAGGCAGGAGTATCACTTGAACCCGGGAGTGATAAGAGGAGACATATATTAGCCTGCTTGAAGCTGTCTCATAGCTCACAGATGCTCTGTTTATTTTTTTTCTGTTTCCTTCTGAATAATTTATTGCTCTGTCTTCAAGTGTACTAATTTTTTCTCCAGTACTATCTGCTGTTAATTCTATTCAGTGACTGAAATGCAGCATGATACATGAGATATTCAACATTTTATTATAAAACAGGCTTTATTTTTGTTTTGTTTTATTTGAGATGGAATCTTGCTCTGTCACTCGGGCTGGAGTGCAATGGTACGATCTTGGTTCACTGCAACCTCTGCCTCCCAGGTTCAGGCGATTCTCCTGTCTCAGCCTCCTGAGTAGGTGGGATTACAGGCATGTGCCACCACGCCAACTTTTTGTATTTTAGTAGACATGGGGTTTCACCATGTTGCCCAGGTTGGTCTCGAACTCCTGAGCTCAGGCAATCCACCCGCCTCGGCCTCCCAAAGTGCTAGGATTACAAGCATGAACCACCCCACCCAGTCCAGGCTCTGTAAACAGGCTTCGTGTTAGATGATTTTGCCCAACTATAGGCCAAAGTGAGTTGTTCTGAGCATGTCTGAGGTAGGTCTAGCTAAGCTATGATGTTTCATAGATGTATTAAATGTATTTAACTCATGATATTTTCAATTTACAATGGCCTTATCTGAGCATAACCACATTGTCAGTCAAGTCATACATATATTTACTAAAGTAGATCACTTTGGGGACCATAAGACATCTCAAAACTCATTTTAAAAGATTCTATAGTAGGGCCAGGGGCAGTGACTCACGCCTGTAATCTCAGCACTTTGGGAGGCTGAGGTGGGCAGATCACGAGGTCAGGAGTTCAATATCAGCCTGACCAACATGGTGAAATGCCATCTCTACTAAAAATACAAAAATTACCTAGGCGTGGTGGTAGCTGCCTGTAATCCCAGCTACTCAGGGGGCTGAGGCAGGAGAATCACTTGAACCCGGGAGATGGAGGTCGTGGTGAGTCAAGATCACACCATTGCACTCCAGCCTGGGCAACAGAGTGAGACTCCATCTCAAAAAAAAAAAAAAGATACTGTAGTACAATTGGTCTGGTCTTCGTTCAGCGTTCCTAGACACTGAGCTCCTAAAACCCATGGAATTTCCTAAACAACAGGAGTGCCTTCATTATTCATGGTAAGCCCTGAAAGTGTATGCTAATGATGTGACCCACAGTGGGCCCTAGACAGCTAATGCTAACAAGATGATTTAGGATGGAGGTAGCTCATGTCAAAAAAATAACCATGATTAGGGTGTTGAGACTTTGAGCCAGCCTGATGTCCAGGTAGAGGAGGGAAGCTGGAGATTAAGTTCAATCACACAGTAAAAATTTTAATAAATCATGCCTACGTAATGAAACCCCAGAGAAAACACTGGACTTCCTGATTACTTGGTATGTTTTATTTCTTGACTTGGATAGTTACACAGTTGTTACTATTACTCATTAACATGTCCATTTATGCTTATGTACCTTTCTATATACAGATTTTAAAATAGAAGTTTTTTAATATTGAAAACAATCCAGGTTTGATGGAAGACACAAATCTGCAGATTCAGAATAAACCTAAATCCATGATAAATCTACAGCTAGACATATAATAAAAACTGCACATCTCCAAAGGAAAAGATATTATCTTAGAACAGCTCAAGAGATGTCGGTTCTAAATCTAAAGCTCTAAGGACATAATTTCAGAAAGTATAAAGAATTTTACCTAGAAGGAACATGTGACACACAAGAAAAAAGGTAAGCTCCCACCATGTCCCATCAAAAAAGATAAACGTTTGGGCAAATCTAAACAAACATTGACTATATAAAATACTAATAATATCCAATTTGGAGATTCAATAAAGAACTTGTGGAATTTAATTAGAATTAATGTTATTTCAATACCTTTGTGTTGTTTGGAAAGAGGGTAGCATTTTTAGATGGTTTAAGGATAATCAAAAGTACTTGTAACATTCACATTCCAAATCAGTAAAGGGAAAAATATATGATTAAATAGAAAATCCAGCTGATACCAAAAGACAGGAGGAGAGATAAAGGTGAGAAAGAAGCATAACATAGAAAAAGAAATATGGTAAAAAATAAGATGGCAAAAAATAAATCCAAATAAATTTGTACTTTGGCACTACAATGGAATAGACACTTTTTAAAAGTGTTCTCCCAGTACAAAACACTAGATCTTGGAGAAAACAGACCTCTTAATTCATTGCTGGTTTGTACCATATAAGGAAAATCTCCAGGCCTACATTCAAGACAGAAACTCCCTCTATATTATACACTCAAGACAGAAACAGAAAAAAAAAAAATACCCTCTACACTCAAGACAGATACAGAAAAAAAACTTGAGCTGAAACAAAAGCAAGAAAGCAGCAGGAAGCATCAAGCAAGAAGACAGCTTGAAAGATGGGGTTTATCCCTGAAGGCAGATAGCTTCGGCCTGTTAGTTTGCAATTGACCTGCAGAGACAAAACCTTCAGCTAGTAGTAAGGGTTAGGGAGCTTAAACTTAAGACAAGGCATTGGCATTCAATCAGGATCCTCAAAGGTGAATAGAGTATGCCAAGGAGTTTGTACCACCTCACCCAGAGAAGCAACGAACTCAAATCATACTGAAGGGTAACACACAACTTAGGTCCTCTGTCTTCTCACGGATTAACACATACTCAAGGAAATAAGTCACAATATAGGCAATAAATAATAACCTTAAATGTAAA